CCCCCCCCCCCCCCCCCCCCCCCGCCAACAAAAATAAAAAAAAAGTCATTTTTACATTGCTAATGTACTTCCTTCAAGGAGCAAGTGGAAATTAAAATAAGTATGTCATAATGTTTTGCAGCTTATTTACTTATAAGCTTATCAAATCATGCTACTGGTTTGTGTGTTTTAGAAGCATCAGAAATGCCATTGGTGTCAATCATCACATCACAAACAAAATAATAAGTTAGCTTTCATACCTAACTTCACACCTGTCTCCAGAATAATAAAAAAAAAATCCATGAACTTAATTTTCAGGGATAATGAACTGCCGGCTAATTAGACAATGGATACAACATAATTACAGATTCTCAGAATATAGAGATCCAGCACTTTTTGAGAAGGGTGACCTGTACAAAGCTCCCATAGTTGGCGGGGGGGTCTTCCGCAGTGGCTGTAATTTCAACTCATGTTGTATGCTATTTCCATTGGACTGACCGGGCAAGTAAGATGCTTCGGCGACAAATGGAAAAGCACAGTAAAAGCTCACTATATCTCCTTAATCAAAGGCTTGCCTGTTCTTTCCACTTTCTCCGTTCTCACAGCACCTCTTTTGCTAACGACACATTCCACTGCTGATGATTTCTCTGTATTCACTAGTGCTGCCAAGGAAGGCCACACTTCACCCGGCTGCTCGTGAACCCAACACATTATGAAGTAAACCTTCCGCTCAGCAGATTTAAGCTTGCTCTTGATTTCCACCCTTTTTGACTTGTGCAGTTTCTCCGACTTTAGCTCTTTCTCAGCTGCCTGAATCAGCCTCTGCGTATCACAAAGCAAGCAAACTAAAGCTGCAGCTCCTAGATGAAGTAGGCTAATTACATCATCGAGGAGCCCCAATCCGAATTGCAAGCCACCCATATGCCTGTATGCAGGAGATGACGTTTGCTCCAAGCAATGCAACAAAGCTTCCAACACTGTCTCAGGTTGCCCACCTTTACCCAGGATAGAAGATACACTAAGCAATAACATTGTAGATTCTAGCGCATCTGATTGCCAGTCCCCATTGTACAGTCGAAGTGTAAAACAGTAACTGTAAATAATGTCAATGAGATGAACAGCTAATAGAGGGGATGGACCAACAGTACTAAGCTTGCTGGTTGGTGGTAGTGGAGTTTCAGGGCCGGGTGGAATGTCATACAACTGATTGCCTTCCATATAATTTCCTGATGCTTCCACAGGATCTTGCTGAACAAGTGGTTGTACAAGGCTAGCTCCATCTTGGCTGAGAGATATATATTTAGCAGAAGGCTTCAGCCACCATGGATCCCATGGCTTAATCAACTTGCTGAGCTCTCCCGAGGATACAGCTCTCTGGAAATGCTTCCTTTCCTCAGCAGATAAATCATCAATATTTATCCGGTTTCCTATGACAAAGAGAAATAACACTTGGATCAGGTCAAACCAGCACACAAAACAGCGTCATAAGCAAGAACTGAAAGAGAAGATTAGCACATACCAGACATAATCTTCTGAATAGTCTCCTCTGACAGAAATGAATCTGAAATTGACATAATTGGCCAAATTAGCAGATGATGAGGGAATAACAGCTAGAAAATTCATAACATGGAAAAAAGAACAAAGAAGGAAAGTTCAACATAGCATACACAATAACATGTATGCAAGATAGTTTCTTCCAGATGGCAAATACGGTCGGTCATTGAAATTTCCTTCTGTAACTGGTCTTAGCAGAACAACAGATAAGACCAAAAAAAAAAAATTACTATGGATTACAAAACTACAAATATTAACGTTGTCAAACTCATTCATTTATGTAATAATAAAGTTCAGTGCACAAGCAAAATATATTTTTGTGTGTGTGTGTGGTGGTGGGGGTAAAAGAATGCTTTACCCTTACAATTTTAATATTTTTTCTTTCATTATTAGCCTCCAAACAGAATCTCATATAAATAAAGTTGCTATTTAGAATTTCGGGAATCGAAATATATATCAAATGTCATTAGCCCTGAGAATACCATGGACTTTTAGAAGATAGTTTTGTTCAGCCTGCAAATGACAGACATATATTGAAGTGCGTGTCATCAAGAAATGCTGAAGGTAGGAAAAGCATACCATCTTCATCCATGCCATCTGTCTCCTCTTCCTCATGAAATCGTTTAAGAATATCTAGCATTTTTTGTTTAGTTTCATTATCAGGTTGCAGCTGCTGCAGTTCTTGAGCAACATTCTCTCTCATAAAGGATTCAGTGCACCGAAGGCTATGAGACTGCCAAAGTACCAAATATAAATCACAATAAAGGAAAGGCAAATGCCAATAATGAATACAGTTTAACATCTTTATGTATCACACCATTAACCATTTCAAAGTAGGAACTGCCGAATAACTGGATTATGAGTGAGTTTAAGTGATAATAGCTTGGGAACTGTGGCTTTCAATTCACCAATATATGATAGTTTTAATCATTGAGTTTGGTTACTCGAAAACATATACTCACCTTATAACAATGAAGAGAGCAATATCGAATGTTGCAACGCGGGCAAGTATATTGAGAAAACTGCTTCTCACATCTGCACCATATTTTAGTAGAATTAGCAAATATCAAACTGCTCCCATCACAGGAGTAGCAGCCCAAAATCGGGGATGACTACATCTGCACCTCCCTCTATATCTATCTCTTATACACACGCATGTGAATCTTCAGATACAAGTAATTTAGATATGCAGTATGGCCAATAAGAAAAAAATCATCAAAATTAAATACCATATAAAGGACGCTACGGAGAAACAAAACAAAAAACATAAATTGTTTCACATAAAAAATTCCTATATAGAGTCATATACCTAGCACTTATTTCGCAAGATTCCAAACCCCCCAAAACATTCCAAGCAATTCACTTTACATAAAACTCTAGAAAATCCAGTTCATTTACGTACTAAATGCAATGTTAAAATCAAAAGAAGCTATTAGCTAAAAGAAAATTAAAGAACAAAACAGTTGAATAGCAGTTGAATGACAGCTTACACGCGGCAGATTGTGTGCGACGGATGGTTGAATTGTGTTGATGTGGAAGGTGCCTCCGATGTGATAATAGTCTCCGACATCGGGAAAATTAATTCAGTCCTGAAACAAAGAATAATATCAATATGTGGGCCGAGAAATTTGGGGGAATTGGAGCTTTTCCAATAGCAGAGAAGCCATAATTTTGCTGATAAAGCTTCTAATTGAGGAAGGAAGAAGCTAGAAATTCCTGGAAATAGAAATACTCTTTGTTCGAGCCTATTTCAAATTCACTCTTCGAACATTAGGGAAATAGCACTAATTGAGGAAAAAGCCGATTTCGGTACTATAAAGTAGGGTTGACAACCAGAACCAAATTGAACCTAATTGGCTCACGATTTTAATTAGGGCTGGGCGTGGTTTGGGTTGAGTCGGTTTTTGCCCAAACCCAAACCCAAACCCAACCCAATATGGTCGCCGGTCGGTTTGATATATAATCAAACCAACCCAACCCAAACGAGTTTCAATCGGGTAGGGTTGGGCTGAGTTGGTCGGTTTAGATTTGGGCCCAAAATGTGGGGCTGTGAATTTGGCAGAAATCTGGGGCAGAAAGTTATTGGCAGAAGGGGAATATGGGGCTGTGAATTTGGCAGGCATTGACTACAACAACAACCTCATTGATGCTCTCATCCTCAAAGGTTTGACTAGCCCTGTAATTTAACAAAAAATTGGCTGCAGGACAAAGATAAAATAATATAACTCATAATTTTTTAGCAAGAAAATTCATGTCTTAGGATCTAGTTCACATAAAATTATCAAGGAAGCAAATTCCTCATTTCTCATGCTTCAATCTTTGTCCATAGGAATCCAACCATTAGTGACACTGAATCATTAACAAACACTAACAAGATTACAGTGATTTTATGAAGATAAGCACAAGCACTAACACGCATTTTAGAAGGAAGCTGGAGCAGAAAGCTGTTTGTCCATAGGAATTCATCCAACAGCCAGAAAGCTGTTGGCAGAAGGAAGCACAGGCATGCTGGGGGCAGAAGGAATATAACCATTGTAATCAACTTGCACATAACAAAAACTCGAGCTAATTCCAGTTACTTTGGTAACACAAAAAGAGGCACGGGTCTCTTATTCAACCAATTGATAAAAGGAGGTCAATGCAGGCACAGGATTTAAGAATTCTAAGTTCTAAAATGTAAGAGACAGCAGAAAATGTTAATGTAGGCAGCTAATATTTATTAAATGATTGTGGATCTGTGATGAACGTGAATATACTTCCCAAAAATGTAAAGTGAGTTCAAGCCGTCAACTTCAAACGTGTAATAGAGTCGGTAATATACTCCAAATGTGTAATATACTTCCCAAACACGTCGCCTTAAAAATCTTAAAGAAGTATTCAAATCTGCAAATGTACACGCAATTTGTATTCAAATAAAACAAAAGCAATAAATAATAACCCTTTATAAATTACAGAAAAGGATAATAACTAATCATATATAGAAACTCAATAATCTCCTTTTGAGACGAGAAATGTAACAGATTTATTGAAATCCTAAAGATATGAGTTGGCTCATCTTTGCTTCAAATTCAACCAACTGAACACATCCCACCACAACAAAAGTAACAGTTAGTGTACATCGAAATGACCTGATATTCCACTCTATAATTGCAGTATAGCCTATCAATCTTAAATTAACAATGGAGTATAATATGTCAGACAACAAGAATTAAGCATTCTAGTCCCATTATTCAAAGGTTGTACTTTGCCATTTACTAATTAAAAGCTCCCTCATTTAAAGCTGTCTAAAAAACCGGATCTTCCACTACAAATACAAACTCACTAATTCAAAGGTTGCATTTTGCCATTTACTAATTAAAAGTTCCAACATTGAACGTAAGTCTCAAATATGATCTTCCACTGGAAATGCAGCCTAACCTAGTAATCCTAACTTAAAATCGAAATGGGATAGTAACTATCAACAAAAATATGAATTATAACGGATCATGCTCTTCCTAAATATAAGTTTGCCCAACACCCAAGTTTCAGTCTTCTTCCCTCCACCACAAAACTCCCACAAATTTCAGCCAGATGCATTATAATGAAATTCCCAATAGAATTTTCTGCAAATAGCAAAACTGGTAGCAATAAAAATAATGGAGAAGAAATAAAAAATCTATAAGAGTTAAAGCTTATATAGCCTACCTCGGAGCAATTAAGAAGAAGATTCCCAACAATTGAGGCTACATCAATCAATTGAGGGCTGGTATTTCGAGAGAGAGAGACGAGCAGAGCCGTGCGAGAAACATCGAGAGAGGATGGGATGAGATGGGAAATCGAGGTCTAGGTTTGGGTTGGGCAGTGATGTTAAGTTTTTCGTTTGGACTTAGGCGGCTATGGGTTTGACGCGGGTTGATGTCATTTTAAAGAGGCTGTAGTTTAATTTAGACAACCGGGCCCAGATCCCCCCAACATAGATTACATATGGNGTCTGGTGACGGACGGTGGTGGCGCCACGGTGGGCTGCTGTCGGACGGTGGCAGAGGCTAGGTCCTTGTTTGGTGTGATTTTGGTTGTGGGATTGTGTTTGGGTGGTGTTTGTGTGATTTTGTTGTTGGGTTTGCTGGTTGTGAAGTCTTGAAGTAGCCTGCATTGAGTGGGAGCGTTTCAATGCTGATTGCGCAGTTGGCTTTGGTCGGGTTTTCCTGATTGTTTAGTCACGATTGTTTTCTTTGACTTCGGTTGGTGTCTGATGGTTGTTCTAAATCAAAAGAACAATAAATTATGTAACATATTTTACTCCTACAAACACTTCTTTACAATTAATACATTTTGATTCCTACAAACATACTATTACATAGATTTATCTAGAAAGCCCTCAAAATACACATGTTCATCTTCCTCCCATTTCATTGTAGAAAGTGGATCATTTTCATCCAAAACTCCCCCAAAAAGATATCTCACAAATTGATCTTCATACACACCTCACGCAAGATATTATCTGTAGTAATATCTCACAAATCAAAGAAATGATTCACATTGTCATCTTCCTCATTTCATCGTAGAATGTGAATCATCTGCATCCAAAAAAATCCCAAAAACTATATTTCACAAATTGATCTTCATACATATCTCACGCAAGATATAATATGTCTCTGACACAATGGAATCCATTTATTTTCTTTACCCATCTCAGATTTTTGAATTGATTTTCTTTTTTTGGAAGATGTATTAATTGTGAGACGTGAAGGATGTAGTATTTAAAACATTTAAGTTACAAAAAGTCATTTGTGTTCTTTTATTAGAAATCAGTAATTTTTAATATATTTCATATACAAAACAATATTTTTAATATTTTAAACATTACGTAGTAAAACATGAAATAATATTTTGTAACGCTGCATATAAGAATTTTTCTGAAAAAAACTATTAAATGACATTTTAGCTCTAACAAGGATCTTTTCATCTCAATAGCATTCCATATATCAACCAACAGATTTATGTCAAAAGTTGGAATAGTATGAAAGGAAATTGAAGAGTGTGTACAGATCAACAGAAAAAAGGAAAAAAAAAAAACAAACTTTTCCTTTCCTAGGTCTAATTCTTATCAGACTTTTACTTAAAACAAGATTTCCTTGCCCGCTTGAAACCTTGTTAACAGGATGATATATCTTCAGAGGTCGTGAATCATATGGAAAAGAATGATGTAAATCATAGGTTCTGTTGATTTTGAAGAAGAAGAATGATAAGAGATTGAAGACAGTTTTTTGTAGGGATGAAATTAAGGCAAAATCGGCTAGATATTTTCCTCATCATGTAGATTAAGTTGGTACAGCTGCATCATCTCTGAATTCTGCTAGATTGGCCAGCAATTTCAATCAATAATGATTAACGGCATCACTTCTAGCACAGGCAGATTGTTTGACTACTGCTTAAGATTTGGCCTCTAATCAAACCTGTGAAGTATTTCATATAACTCTGTAGCTCACAGTTCATTTCATCAAGTGAAACGTCTAGTTTCGATGATGCTTGTCACAAGCTCATGAGCTTGAACTTACTTTCTGGCAAGGAGTTTGCCTATGATCATAAGAACCTGTATCAGTAAGATTCATTTATTTATGATGAATACAAATGCTTTAGTTATTAATGGAACATGTACGAAATGAGCAAAGTTGCAGGTTAATACCCCAATTTTAAGGTGTTACGAAAACTGGAATCCTCTAATACCAGTTTGTTGTGAGAAAATAAAAGATTAAGTGCAATATGAAGTAATTGATCACGAGCACACGAGAATAAAATAATTTTGCGGAGAATTGAGATTTTATTATAATATGGAGGGAGGATACAATGATTATGTCTTTATGATTTGTCTAACTTCATCTAAAATATAATGAAGAGTCAACTATATATAGGGAGCAATTAGAGGACGTTCAAACCTTTATAGTAGAGTTGTAGTTGAAATAGAATGTCAAAAACGGAGTCCAAAGCGAAAAATGAGACTAAAACAGCGCAGGGAGATTAAAGGTAAAGTAGCAGGTTAATGCCTCATTTTTATGGTCCTTGCTTCCATAGCATGAAATGTGGATTAAGTAGTGACTACTGACTGTTAATACTTCATCTATAAAGGCTTTTTTTCCCTTCATTTAATAAACAGTGCTGCTGAAATTGCTTCCCAGGGAAAAGAAGAATACAATATTTCCAATCCATTGGGACCTATTTATGCAGGCAAATCACTGGATTGCACTTTGTATTAAGGCCAAAATCAATGCTTTGACTCTTTTTCAGGGGCGGGAAGATAATGCAGTGCTAACCATTTGATGCTGATATCCACCAGAGCAAATGATAAAGGATGACAGAAACATATTTTATTCTCTGACCTAATCCAATATAATTGGCTGTATTGCTCAGCACAGTTGCATGTGAGTAGGCCATTTCTTTAGATTTTACTCTCAGGCAAGTGGATTCCTCTCTTATCTGTTTCCTGCAGGATAACAATGAGAAAAGCATTGCAGATTAGGATAAGCATCTTAATTGTGTGATTCATGGACGATAGAAGAATCAAGTATGTTGACAGTTCTCTTAAGGATACTGATATCAATCTATGTATCATGTCAGTCGACTCAATCTGGTCCCAATGGGGGCCTTTTAAACGTTAGTCTTTAGCCACAGCCAATGCTTGACAGGAAAAATAACGAGGCACAATTTACCTTATAATGATTTACACAAGATTAAACAATCTTTTTACTAAAATGTTGCTGCAATAACCATAAATCATACTTACGAATCAATGGACGGTAAGGATAAATTTTAAAGGGTTTTCGTCCAACTTATATCGTGGTGATTTATTCATTAAACTTCAAAGTGCTTTATAGTGCTCACTAAACTTTGCCCGATTTCACTTGATCCATCATTCTCAAAAATCCGTTGCTTGATTTGTTGACGTGGATAACAGAAATTTCACGTGACAAGTTACAGCATTTAAAAAATTACAACTAGCCAAACCAATATTTCTTTGCTAATCCAACTTATTCTTGGTCACGATTTGCTCATCAGACTTTAAAATAATTCTCAACGAGCACTCATCTTTGAAATGTTGCACTCCATCATCCGCCTAGATTTCATTCCCTTCACTGTTAATGTATCTCATGAAAATCTCACCGACAAGTTACGATCATTAAAAAATTTACAACTCAGCAAAACCATCAACTCACCAAAATCGCCATTATATAAAACGTGACTTCTACGACCCATAGACAAATCCTTAAGCCCCAATAATGTGTCCCCAATTTCAGTCCTAGAAAACCCTAACCCTCAATTCGCTCATCTCACCTAAGTACATCTAAATTGTGTACTGAGACAGTATTGATTGTTGAGAATGATATGAGAAGCTACTAATTACAAAGCCTTATCCTCCAATTATATCACGTGCTCAATGTTTCTCAAATTCTAATCTTTCATTTTTGAAGGCATGTGTTCAACTATTTGAGGAACGTATGTCATTGAACTCTGGCTAAATTGGTGAACGAGGAACGACAAACACAAATACAACCCAGAAGGTATTCCAGTCATACACCAGTCATCAGATTTCTATAATATTTCATCCCTCAAATAGTTGGACACATACCTGCAGAAATAGAAGATTGAAATTAGAGAGACATTGAGCAGATGGTACAATTAGGGAATATAACTTTATAAGTAATAGTTTCTTGCATCCGTCTCAACAATCGACTTTATCCTATTATACAATTTAGCTGTATATTGATGAAATGAGTGAATTAGGGGTTAAACTTTTTAGGATTGAAATTGGGGACTCTTTTTTGGGACTTAAAGAAGTTTATGGGACCGTGAAAATTGTGTTTCACATATGGTGATTTTGGTGAATTGATAGTTTGGCTGAGTTGTAATTTTTTAACTATTATAACTTGGTACATGAGGTTTTTGTGCAATAAATTAGCAACGAATGGGAAAAAAAAAATCTGACAAATAGAGTCAAACATCTCAAAGATGAATGATCATTGAGAAGCATTTTGAAGTTTGATGAGTAAACCGTGACCAAGTTGGATAAATAATTAAACATTGGTTAGATTGAGTTGTGATTTTTTTTTTTTAACGGTCGTAACTTTCTGCTAGCCATATTAACGAATAAGGAAACAAATTTTCAAAAATGATGGATAGAGGGCAAGCAAAAAAAAAAAAAAAAGTTTAGAAAGCACTATGAAACCCTTCAAAGTTTAGTGAGTAAATCGCGACCATAGTTTAAGTTTGGTAATTGCTGAAATATTTAACTCTTAAGGCTTCTATTTGATTGCACTTCAATTTCATTGTAGATGGAAATTAAATTTCATTTTCCACATTTTTGCATATTTGATTGTCCGAATTTTTCATGGAATTGGTTTTCCATCTTTCACACACATGCTCACATTTTCTTGGTTTTTGAGGAAAAGTTTTTCCCACCATTCTAGACAACTTTTTTTTTAAAATTTTTTTTTTGACAACGGAAACAAATTTTATCTCCCAATTGTAATAAATTATGTCCCTTAAATGGACAATTTTCATGAAAAATAAAGTCAAACAAATACCAAAAGATTCAAAATTTCAATATTTTTCAGGTGGAAAATTATATCAATCAAACACAATTAATTAACAATTCCTAGTAAAATAAATTCTAGACAATTCAATTCCATAAAATTCATTTTCTTTTCAGTTAAATTTCATTATTACAATCAAACGGACGTTACAACTTTGATTTATTTAGCATTTTTATTTGTACGAAGTGGGTCCTACTTTTTCTGTGTTCATATTGAAAAGTGGAAAGTCCACTTCTCTCATTTGTTCACTTACAAAAATTCATCTGATTGGTTGGCCAAGGCAAAATTAGGGCATGAATGGGCCCCTTTTAAGGTTCCTATTTAATCAAGAAAACCCAATAGTAAGGTTTCTAATTTGTTTAAGCAGACATTAGGTGATTATTAAAGGCACTTATTAATATTCAACTATCAAAAGCAGTTTAACAATTGGTCTTCAATTTTCTTCTTTTAACTTTTTCAACCTTGTCTTCATCTCATGCTTAGTAGTCTAGTATATTTCACAACAGTTTTTTAACTCCTTACGTTTTTCAATACAAGATATCCAAACAGCAGCAAGGAAACCATTTGATCTTCAAATTTACACTGTAATATCGAAAATCTTTATTGCAGTTCTCCATGGGGGGTTAACAACTAGTTATTTCGTATTAATTACAAGTGCTTAACTAATTAGTAAGAAGAAGAATATAATAATAAGAAGTCCTCACACGATGAATACCAAAAAATGCATTTCAGAACTATTTTCACTGCTGTATACACAGAAAAACAAGAATTCTCAAAAAAGGAAAGAACTATTTGAATCAGAAGGCTAATCTGTAACTGCTTAATTTCTTGTTTTACTACTATTCCTCAAAAGCCACATAACCAAACAAAATCATGCCAATAGCATATATTTACTTACCACAACAGTTTATCCAATATCAAAACATCTAGATCGAGCACTAGTTACGAAAACTAAGCATGACCATTGACTGGTTATCATTCATAACTGTTGTCATCTGAGAGCGAACCACTAGGAATTGCAAAGAGTCATTGTTGCAGAAATACTCTTCCCTTGACAATTTTTTCTTGAACTCGAGGAGTCAAACTTCTCGAGTGCTAATAATTGCAGTCATTTCAATCATTCATAGCTAGCTTTCATATTGGAAAGTGTCAGCCAAGTTAACAGGAAGTGAAACAACATGCTGATTATTTTCCGATAGAAAAGCCCCTGACTTGGTAATACTATCATATTCATCACTTGCAATCGCTTCACTTGGGCTCATTATTTGCAGAAGTGGTACGAGAGATGGAAATATTTCAAGGCGTGTGACATGCCAGTTTCCCTACAAGACATTTCAAACTTCTGTCAACTGATAGAAACAACTAAAAGAAACACAAGTTCAGAGATCTTATTTGTTTCTTTCGTTCATTAGTTCAGTGTTTACCTCAGCCTCCACTATGAAATGTGCCCATATCTTAGTTTCACGAATTTCCATCACTCCCTTCAAGATGATCAAGCCAAAACCTCGAATTATTTTAGCAATCTCCAAAAAGCAACCCTGTTCTTCAAAGAGGATCTGCAGCAAAAAGAAAATGTAGAGTTGAAGTGGTTGAAATGAATGCTATAAAGATGTGTTGTTGTGTGTATGCAAATATGAATGCATTGTTTCACTTACCTCTATAAGCATTTGGCCAGGGGTACTAAGGTCCTCAACTACCAGAGGACAAACCATAGTCTGATCGCCAACTTCACATGCCAACGTAACTCCACCACTACTACTGCTCGAGTTATCATTCTGGGATGAATTATGTCACCCAAGTTGGTGAACATTTGAAATAATTCAAAAGCATATCCATTTTTCAAATAATCAAGGTAATACAGTAAAAATAACATAACATTTTACCTTTGACTTATCAGTAAGTTTAACAATTCGTCTGGTGAGACTCTGCATGAAATTCAAGTGTCTAATAGTTCGTTCCAACAAACGATCAATGCTCATCTGTTGAATCAGCCAATTGCCAGTCAAAAACTAATATACACGGCATGATTTCAAGAAAAGATATTTATGTCTCAACTCATTTTTGGATGATCGATTCTTTCAATTTCAAAAGGCTTTTCTCAAATAGGAAAGACACATGCCATCTCAATTTTGTCTCTTTTTCTAAAGAAAAATAATAATTTACTTACCTTGTCACCATTGGGAATGAGTTCCCTCAATTCTGCAAGACTATCTTGGATCATTTGACGATTTTTTGGCCTGGGACATGTTCCTGGTTTGGCCTTCTTCTTCACAGTCTGTACACGTTCCTCATTCCTCATTGGCGAATAAGAGTTTCCAGTATTCATGCTAGAGCTATCACCAATCAACGAACCAGCTTCTTTTGTGCAGGTACCATTATTGGGTTCAAGGATAATTCTTTTGCAGGGATTATATACAGGTTTAAGAGGTTTCATTTGCCCATCAAAGGTAGGAAAACCTTGAAATTTCACTTGGTGCTGGCTCTGCAAGTAATTCTCAATTTTCCTTCTTTCAGCATTGGATGATACTTGATCATCAAATTCCGATATGGAAACTGATGAAAAGCAACTAGGGATGCCATCAAAAAGATGATGATCAAGTCCTAATTTAGAGAACAAGTTGTTATTTGTTCCAACTTTGGATCCAATATGTTGCTCTGAGGTGCATTCCAGAGTTATTGCTATTCACAACTGACTTTGGGTCTTCATTATGATCTTCTGGCCTTTTACACACAGGATCCTCCTTAAAACTGTAAAACAGCTCGTCAATGCCAGACATTTCAGTACATTTCTCTTTTCCAATGCAATAAAATGCATCTTTGATAGAACTTTGTAATGAATTGGTTGGACAATTTTCTGACATGTTTGTAGAGGAGTTGTGTCCATTCAAATTGACTACCGGGATTAATCCTGCAGCATGTGATAGGCTATTACAGAGTTTCATAGCAGATGAAGTAATGCTTTCATCTGGCAGAGAAGAAAACCAACGAGAAAGGTCATCCACAGGGGACATTTTAGAGACAGCCATTGTAAAATCACTTATTGGGAACGACTCCTCAAATGTGGAAAAATTAAATGATCTCTGACCTTGGCCATCAATTGAATGGAGTAACATTTTAGAATTTTGATTGTTTGACGAATCTTCAGAGAATGGATTAGAGTGCAATGAAATGTAACTGCTTGTTCTTGTGAAAAACGCATTGTTCCTCAGTTCACATGGCAAATCATGCCAAGATGAAGTAAACACATAATTTCGTTTTACACTGCTAGGTGCTTGAGTGGAGAAATCAATGCAAGTAGCAGACTCTAGAAGCAACTGCTGCAATTGAATCTCATCCTCGGAAAGAGAATATGTAGAATCAATGGTATTCATGAACAGGTGGTCTGAAGCAAAAGGAAAGGAATGCGGGAGAATTACTGACGAATGACTTGCATCCGCCAAATTTGCATATTCCGCACCATGTTGAATATCGTGAAAGGAAGAACTCCCGTGTGATGCCAATGTAGTGAACGGCCTATTTGTACCAAAAATCTTGCTATCTGGCGATGAAGTTTTATTTTCCGATATAATGGTACTTTGACCTTTACCCATTCCTCTAAAAGATTCAGTTACTTGATCGACAAATCCCTTTGTTTCTGGAATCTGCAGTGAAGAATCAATGCTGTCAATGAAAAGACAATCTGCACAAAAGCATCTTATTCTCTCAAGTCAGGACGGGATAGCATATTTGATGCCGGAACCAACCTTCCGAGTGGACCCAAAGTGAACAACACCAAATGGTTCTACTGATATTGCTGCAATCGTCTGCAAATTTAATTGGATTACATTCAACATGGTTTAGTACCTTAACTAACAAAATTAAACCATGTCTTTCGATGCATAAGCTAAATACTTTTCCAAATAATATCAACTGACGGGAAAAATAGGAAATCAAGTTAGCACCTTTATCCCAGTAGCGAACTGGCAATAGAACATAGAATCATTCTGTAAAATGAAATTCATAATGACCAAAAAAGCTTAAAAAAAATTATCTGCACGACTTTTAAACTTAAATTTATAAAGAAATAGTGTTATAAGATACAATACCTGGCAAACCTGACGACTCCCAACTGATTCCAAAGAATTTTTCCATTGATGACAAGAATCCGGGAACATTCATTGATGGTTTTTAGAGAAGGCGGATTGTCCAATTACCCTGTAATAGTATTAGACAATTCTATCAAACTTAGCACTGTAATATAACACTTGAATCCTGAACTTTTTTTTCCCAAAAAACCGGAAAAATAATTGCAGCAAGATTATGTTTGATACAAATACTTAAATTCTATAGTTCTGAGCCATTTTTAGCTTACCCTCCCTCGACCACGTGAACTTGCAGAAGCATATCATCAATAGCGCGCAGCTCCCATTTGTTCTCCATAGTAGGCATCTTGTAATGTCAACAATCTGGCATGGGGAAGAAGTTCATGCTATGTGCAAAAATTAGAATCCCACATGGTTAGACCTTGAGTATAGGTTAAGGCTTAAGCATTTGAGCAACCAAATTACCAAATTTAAGGAGATATTCAAATTTATGTATTATCTAATTTTAAAGATGATGAAGGATAATAATATAACACAAGGGAAAACAGAATCGAATCAGGGAAAGAAACTATTTTAACTAGTCATTTTACAACTTCATCACCAAGATTTTAATGAGAAAATAGAGCAAGGGATAAAATAATCTATCATTTCTCTTATCTGTTAACCAAAAAATTCCCATAAAAACTTAAAATGAAAATACAAAATAAGCATTAACTTACAAGGAATTTCTGTGATCTAAACACCAGAAAACTCCATAAGATCATCCATTAATGCAACAGAGTCTCTTGAGGATGTCTTTTATCATAGAATCACCCTTTCGTGTACACATTTTATACAATATAACAATCCAAGCCCTCAAACCCCAGAATCACTGCAGTGCCAATCAACTGTCAACCCGAACATTTGTTTTGTAAAAATAAAATTACAATTTTTACTGCAGCAAGAGAAAAAAGAAAACACTTGGCGGAAGAGAAAGTGTCAAGAAAAGAGAAGGAAACAACGATCATTTTATTCTGGGAAAACAACGAATGGTGCTGAAAGAAAGTGTTTCAACTTGCAAACAAAAAAAAAAAAAACCAGTGAAGTGCTGAGTTTTTCATAAGAACACGCTATAACAAAAACAGAAATAGGAAAGTCGTCAGCAGACATCACAATAAAGATAGCACCAAAAGCGGATTTAATAAATAGATACAGAGAGATACATACACAGATTTATTGATATTGATAGGGGAGGAAAAGGGACCGTTTACTCTATGCTAGGAAGACCAAAGTCAGATGAAGTCCCAGATTTTCCAATTTATGTATACTTAAATTGTCTTTATGCCCGTAATATCTTGGAAGATTTTCAGCTTTGGGGTCCCAATTGCAATTCTTGTGTTTTTCACGTACAATTTTGACACACCATTTATTATATGAATCTTGCTACATGTATATCAAGGTTGACATAAAATTTACATAATGTCACATAATAATCTATCATTTGTCGTTTAAAATACAATCAATTTTTTTCATCTAATCATTTCCTCCAAATCATCTTCAACTCTGCTTCTAAACGCTGCCTTTTGTACAGTCAGCATATATAGTCCCTTTTCTTTTTATAATTATGATAAAAAAATTATTATAAGGATGTTCGAGTCTTGATGATAGGTGAACATAACAACAACAACAATAATAATAATGTTGTGTGATGTTTCATTAAGCCTCTAACTCTAGCTCAGGTAAGGACCAGTCCCCTCCTAGTTTTCTCGAATAGAAAGAGTTAATGTAGGATTGGTACCTCCACTTTATTACCAACTCCTATTCGCATTTTTGGTTTTTTGTAGGGAAGGTCAACGTTAGAGGTCTTAATATTCGATCGATGACAAGCCTACTTTTAGTTGCCCTTTTCGAGTTGTTATAAGTATTATGTACAATAATTGCTCCAAAATGGAAAAATTAAATCATAACTAAAATTTAAACCTTAACACCCACCCCCCCACAAAAAAAAAAAAAAAGCAAAAAGGATATAAATAAATAACAACGAACTAATCCTTATTTCAGTTGTCCACATCAATCTTTTTTCTCTATTCCTTCCAATCCACCTACCCCAGCAACCAAAAAAGAAAAGGAAAAAAATAGACGGGGCAGGGATTTTTACAAATGTCATTCTCAGGAGCTTGTGTTTGGGGATTTTTGTGGAAAAAAAAAAGAAAAGAAAGAGAGAGGAAGCCGAGCTGCTTAGTTTTGGCACATGAAAAGGGATTAACTTGTGTCTTATTAGAACCATAATATGTTGGATTTGTACTGAGATTGCATGATTTGTTGCTAATATAAGAAAATTGATATTTACTGACGCGGTAAAGATTATTTATGCTACAATTTGTACATCAGTAAAAAGAATAAATTGTATATGCATGTAATTAATGATAGAATTAGTGATACATATGGTAGATTTTTCGCTTAAAAATGTAGGTTGTAAATATGGAGATTAGTGAATAAATAAATAAATTGCAATCACAAATTCATTGGAATGATTAAAATTCATACATTAGATAATTCGATTCCATAAATATGGTGTTAATAGTGTGAGATAATAAAGGTATATTCCTTCATTATTTTTGGTAATTATGCATATAAGTGTAAACGTATTTCTTTTTTATTTAGTTTTAGTGAGTTTTCATTTTCCACTAGGGAATGTTCGTGAGGGTTTGGATACTCCGACCATATATATATAAACAAAACTCATGGGGTACAAAGGGAAAGAGGGCGTAAACCTGAAATTCCTAAAGCAAAGGGACGCAACATATGAAGAGGAGTAAAGATAGGGGAAGTACTATTTCCCATACAAAGCAAGCAAGTGAAAATAAACCCAACGCTCTCTAATGCTAGGAAGACCATATCTATCAATTTGTATGAGAGCTCGAAGTTCGCATGAAAGATCAATGGGAGCGTACTCCTAATAATGGCACATATCCCATCCTACAAATGCAAATGAATCACAAACTTGGTTTCCCTCCCGATAAATGTGGAAGACAAAATCACGATCTATAGAAAGAATATGTATGATTTGTCTAAGAATAATCTATGTCTCCCATGAACCGCCACCCCACTAATGCAGTGAACGGTCACCAATGAATCGACCTCCAACTAAATATTCGATAATCCAAGTCGACGAGCAAGTAAGATACCATCTAAGATAGCTCGAAACTTAGCCTCCAGGATAGAGCAGTCACCATAAGATACTGAGAATGCTCTAATGCAATTACTAGTGTGAGATATTTAATTTATGTTCTTTGTTAACATATACCCCGTTTGGCCCCCCATTATTCCCCATTAAATTATAATTCATTTTTTTTCTCTTTTTATCAACCACGCATTCTCCAATAAAATAATATTATACGTAAATCTAAAAATATTTCCATTTTTAACCATACATTTTCCAAAAAATTACTATTTTTCTCATTTTAATTTGGAATAATGGAGGCCAAATGGGGGCACAATTTGATAACCATTACCTGCATCAACATGTATATGTTGATAACGAATTATCGAGTAGCTCGTAAAAAAATACTTATATAAATTGAAAGATACTAGCACACAACTCTCGAGCTCGGCTCGTGTTCAAGGGTCAAGCTCGGCTCGGCCCACAAGCTTGTAAGTTCATGAGCCAAGCCCACAAGCTCTTTTTTTATTAGTATTTTTTAATTTTAATTTTTAACTTTTTCTTGACATTTTTTACGAGCCCACCTCGTGGGCTTGTGAACTTTAGGCTTGTGGGCTACCCATGAGCCGTTAGCGAGCTCGACGAGCCGAGCCGAGCCTTACTCATCTAGCTCGACTCGGCTCGTCCTGAAACGAGCCCGAGCCATCCATAGGTCAAGTTTTGACAAGTCGAGCCGACGAGTTACTCAGCCCTTTTGCCCCCCTAGATATATTGAGACCACTTTTATGTTCTGTTAAATTTTTCCAACACTGATTTCAGTGCTAAAATTAAACACGGTTCATTTAATCCCTATTTGGCTCCTCGTTCTTAAAATTCATTTTTTTTCCTTAACCTCAATTTTAATCACACGTTTCATACATTCACAATTTTTATCAACTTTTTAATCACACATTTTATTATTTTTAATCAAAACCTATTAAAAATTTAATTTTTATCAAAATGAAATAGGGGCTTACTATTGACAATGACTTGCACTCACACCTACTTGACAAGTATATTAAGTGTGAGAATCACCAACACGAACGTTTGTAGATGATATTACACTAGAACATTTTAATACTTAAATGTTGCCATTGGTTAATATAATTGAGTTTTGACAATATTTTTTTAAATGAATGCTACTAATGTCGCATTTTGCAATATTTTTTGAACGTTGTTAATTGATTCTATAGCGACGTTCAGTGTCCGTTGCTAAAACTCTTAATATATAGCATTTTGCAACGTTTATTGACCGTTGCGAAAAGTTTCATTTTCTGTAACGTTGTTAAAATCTGGTTCATAGCACCGTTCGGGTGCCTGTTGCTGAAACTTTTATTATATAGCCTTTTGCGACATTAAGTGAATGTTGCAAAAAATGTGGCAAAAAAAAAATATTTTTTTTTTAATTTTCCTTCTCTCTCTCTCTCTTCTCTCTCTACTTTTTCCCCCTTCCACCCAAACCATTTTCTTCCAATACACATACATCTCTCGTCATCGTTTGTAAAAATTCCAATGCCCACTATTGGGTATCCCCAATTTTTTCACCTTTTATTTATTTTGATGATTTCGAAAGGGTAAAAATTGGTGAAATTTGTGATTTTTCTCAAATTTTTGTGTCAAATATTAAGAGAGAATCATGAGTCCGCTACACCCCTAACCCCACCCACATCTCTGAACCTTAAAAGTAAATCGATAGCAGCAGCAAGCCCTAGCAATCGGAGATACAAACCTTCTAAAGAAAACGCACCGCCAACATCATATCTGAACTCGATTGTGTCAACTGCCACTGCCATGATGAAGAGCCCACTACCTCCGCAGTCCACGCTCAAGAGGAAGCTCCGTGTGGAGGTCGCAGTGGGATTGGAGAATAGTGATGGGCTTGCGAATCCTGCCGATTGTGGTATCAAGGTGAATTTGACTTTAGATGATTTTGATTTTACTACAACTGGCATTGGTTAGTGAGGTTTATATATTGTTACCTTCGACTTCAATAGTTGTATCGTTCAGATTTGTGTTGGAATTTTCAAATGTTTCATGTTGTTGGGTAAAACCTCCATATTTCTTGATATGTTTCATATTCTTTACTTTCCATGAACAAAGATTCAATGAATTCAGAATGCGAGCTGCTAAACTCCAAGATTTGACACAATAAATTCTTTAAACTTGTCAGTGGTTGTTAACTCATTAAGATATCTTAATGAGCAGCTGCAACAGTTCATAGCGAACATAAATTCATCTCCATAATATATCAATTATCAAATATAATGATTGAGGATTGAATCTCATAGGGGCTTTTGGCGTATATTGTTGCATTTGTGGCTGTTGAATTAATTTTTTCTTCTTGAGTATATCGAAATAGAAAGTGTGAGCTTTATTTACTACCTGTCCTTTGTCTGAGCAAGAAATAGTTTGTGGGATTTAAAATAAAAAAGACAACACGAAATTCATCCTAAACTCCAAGATGAATCTAAAAAGCTTATATTCATTATATTAGCTCTTCAATTTCAACATCTTCACATCAACATTGCAACGTAAAAGCTTAATCTCCTCATTTAGGGCAAGTTCACTCGTTTTTTAAGAGTTATGTATTGAATTGAGGAGTTGGGCAAATGACAGATGAATCAGGATATACCTTAGTTAAACGATTAAATTTCCAAGGATCCATGAAACGACCGTATTAACTAAAAAATGTATCTATACTCTTTTATACTAGTTTTCGAATTTTACTACATAGTCAAACCTATAACTCACCTCTTGACTCATTATAAATTCACAAAATCAATGACTTATTAGCCAAGTAATTCAAGCATTAAACATTATAAATAAAATCAACACACGAAAACTGAGAGCAAGAATCTTGAAAAATGAATTAAAGGGGTTTCAATAAACTACATTGTCCGCCCTAACAAAAAAAAAAAATTAGCTACTCAAATTGAATGAAGAATTTTGAATGAAGATGTAGATGTAGATGTAGAGAAATTGAAGAATCTTGCACTGAGATCCTTTTCCTTGCCCAAATCAATGCTTCAAACCCTAATCCTAATAACTTGATTTCTTGTGTTTTCTTCGATGTGTTTCTCTCTAATTCTCAAGTTATGGAACCCCTTTTTCTCATCCCCTTTCGGTCTTTATATAGTATTCTACTCTTTAGATGAATCATGTCACCTCGGACCTTGCAATGAAAATTCTAAAAAATTTAACCCAAGTGTTGACGCCTTGGTCGCTGTAATAAAATTTGGTAATGTGTGGACGCCTTGATATTCACGTTAGTTTCTTAGGCTTTTAATAAACACTTCTGTACATGGGGGTGGCTCGATCATGTCAAGGGCTTCCTATATGGTAAATTGTTTGTCCATGCAAGGTTGTATGAGGTCTTCCTCATAGATTTTAAGGTGGGCTCTCTTCAGAATGCTCGATACCTCTCCAGCAAAGGTGATTTTACTTTCATGCATGGTGGATGGTTCATCCATGCCAAAGATTTCTTTGACGATGGATGGTTCATCCATAGAAGGCTTTATCTTTGTAGGTATTTAAGTGGACCCTCTTTGGGGTGCTTTTGTTTTTCACCTCTTATAGAAGCGGTTTGACTTCCTTAGATGGTGGATGATTCATCCTTGTCAAGGGCTTCTTTCATGGCCGATGGTTCATTCATGGAAAGTTTCGTCTTCGTAGGTATTAAGGTGGGTCCTTTTGGAATGCTTCTCACCTCTCCTTTCGAAGCGGTTTGACTTTCTTGCATGGTGGATGATTTATCCATGTTAAGGGCTTCTTTCATGGTGGATGGTTCAGCTATGGGAGGCTTCACTTTCATAGATATCAAGGTGGGCCCCTTTTTAGGTGATTCTCACCTTTTCTTTTAAAATGGATTAACTTTCTTGCATGGTGGATAATTCGTCCATGCCAAAGGCTTCTTCCGTGGTGGATGGTTCATCTATGGAAGGTAATATGATAAGGTGAAGACATTTGATATCCATTGCATTGAATAAAGAGATTTGTTAAGTGTTGAATGATCTTCTTCGTACAAGGGCAATTTGTTGACCTTGATTTTTGTATGAATGACGCGACCAACATGTCTCGACTCTATTTACGTCTATGTTGCATTTTTCCTGCACACTTGAACAAATTGTTACTTGCTTATAGCCTTCTCTGATGGTAGATGAGACGGTTGCAAGTGATATTCCAAGAATAACTAATCAAAAGGGTAATGAAATGGTTTTTCAGACCTTTTTTGAAAAATTAATTTAAATTCAACCAAGTTAGGAATGGATAGATCAATCAATCAAACAAAATGCACAAGTACGAAAGCGATAAGTAAAGGGGAGAGAATGTGCAAACTATATAATTGTGGAGGTTCGATTCAATGCAATGATCTACGTCTTTTGTTACCAAGCTTTCCATTACGAAAAATATCTTTTCACTATATTAATTGACTTACAAATAAGGAGCACCTATCTTTATGTAATTTTGAGATTTACGGGACCTCAATACGACCCACAAATTTGCATAATGTTTTTACAATTTAAACATCATTCTTAATAAATAATACAAATGAATTAACTACTAGGAGAGGCTAACATTTTAATGAATTTGTAATACATGAAGTTGAAGTGTAAGATAAGAAAATTTTGATGAAAAATATGATTTTCAAAAGTTGATTCAATCAATCAAATTTTTTCTAAGTAAATATTTGATGAAATAATTAAGATGTAAACCTAAAGAGTTTTTCTCAAGAATTTCTTATTTTAATGCTCCTAAAAAATGTTGTAATTAATGTAAAAAGTGAATGATTTATAGAGTTTAATTAGTAAAATAATTTCTTTACACAGAGGCGGAGCCAATAAAGTAACTCAATGCGGGCACAATTTATCGATGTTGAACGTCGAGTTTTTGGATATTGATTTAATGATAATAAAAATATAAAATAATATTACGACAATACTAAAAATGACATAGTTCACAAATTACACTTGTGCGAGTTTTCATACGTTGATATCGTAACTATCGTTGTACAATAACTTCATTATTGAGTTTCAAAAATATATCTTTTTCTACATAAACAATTGCGTTATCATTCATCCACTGCTCACCCATTCGATTATGCAATCTATCATTTACAATGCTTGTTGTAGAAAAGACTATCTCCACAGTAGTGGTAGCAACCGATAGAATTAATACTAAAGTCAAAAGTTTGTAAACTAATGGATATACCGCATTTTTCTTTGTCAGAACTAACTTCTCTGCAAGATCATTCAACCCTTCAAACCCTTTCTTAGAGTGCATGTCAAAAATATAAGTCTTAAGTTGATGGAGAGATAAGTCGAACAGTTCGAATCTATCCATTTAACATCATAAAACGATGAAATTAAAGGTGACCAGAAGAACCAAATCGAAGTTCTGCATGTAAGTACCACAATCGAGTGACGTCAAAGTAATATTTTTTTTTCTTTAAAAAATCATTTTCAAAAAATGCAAAAAATGCTACTGAAAAGGCAAGTATAAAAAAATGTTAGCATTATTTGCCCATTTCAGTAATTCTTGCCTAAAATATTTCACTCTAGAGGCTATTATTTTCAACCACTTCCAAATATTCACGTCTTGAAGCCCAAATTTTATTTGGGCTTAATTTGTTCCTCTTCATAAAATTAGCCACTACTCTGTACTCACTAACATGAATCCGTCAAAAATGTTGTCTCGCTTCATATGAACGTCGATAGCGGCCGTGAGCCAGTTCTCAACTAAAACCGTTGCCTTGGCGAAGACGACAGAGCCTTTAAACAATAAGGGAAGCGTTGTTTCTTCTACAACTACTGGAGGTAGGGACACTTTGGGATGGCTTTTTTTGCTCTGATATATACGAAGCACAGCACCGTTGTAACCATACGAAAATGGAAGGAGGAAGGCCATGTCATCTGCAAGTACGATCTCTATCGTGTCATCCGTGAGCTCCGAAAACTTAAGCATTACAAACATGCACTCGAGGTTATATATACACTTTTATACCTATATTTCCATGTTAGTTGAAACTTTGGATTTTGAGTTATTTGGGAGAAAGAAAAGGCGGAGGCGGAGGACGGGAAGGAAGTGTTGGAGAGTTTGTATAGAAATATGGATTTTTTGGATGTTCTTTGTCCCACATATGATAGAAATAGAAAGAAAGACTTGTTTATAAGTGTGAAAATAGTATACTTAATAAGTTGGATAAAAGACCACGCAAATTGGCTTTGGGCCTGAGCCATATGATTTGGGTTTAATTGGGCTCCTTGTTAGGTTATATAAATATATATATAGGAAATTACACCTACACCTGCTTTTAGATTTCCATTTTCAAAAATCATATCACAAGTTTAAATTTTCAAAAATCAGGTTTTTAATATTTTATTAAATATTAATTATATATTTTTCATCACAATTAAAAAAACCTAATCAAATCTAAAAATCATTCATCTCCTCCCGTCCATTTCTTCTCTCCTCCCCATCAGGCGTCTCTCCTCCCTGTCCTGCCGCCACGACCTTTCTTCCCCTCACCGTTCATTTCCCCTCCACCACCGTGTCATGTGCTCGAAGCGGCGACGGCGGGCCTCCGTTTCTCTATCTTCTCTCCGGCGATTGAAGGGTTCACTACGCGTCCGAGATCTTGCCGACCCATCGCATCCGTCGTTTGAACCATCAGCGTTTTCGACCGGCAACTTCACAGAAGCCGTGACCCACATCACGAAAGTTGTTAACCATAAAACCGCCAACCATGTTCTGTTTTTCGATCTATCATCCGCCTCTGCCTCTTCGCAGATCCAACTGTCTCGATGTCGTCTTCTATCGTTTCGGCCCTGTGGATCTGTTTTTTCTTATTTTATTTTTTTAGTTCGAGTTTGATTTATTTGGATGGGTATGGTGGTTGTATGGTTGTTGTTGGTCAGTGGTTGCCATGGTGGTTTTTCAATCAAAGGGTGGGTGTATGGTTGATGTTGTTCAGTGTTTTGTTGTTGAGATCGTGGTTTGGCGATGGCGGATCTGGCAGCGATTTTGTTGTTGTTCCATGTTTTGGCGGCGGTCTGGTGGGTGTATGGTCGTTTTGTTTGTGGCTGCCGATGGTTTTGGGGGTGGTGATAGTGGTGTTGGGGAGGGTGTGGTATTGGTTTTGAGATTTTGACGGTGCTATTGGGTGGCGACGGTGGTGGTGCCGTTGGCGGATACAGTGACGAAGTGGTGGTCACAATTGATGTCGATAGTGGTCACACACAAATGATTTGGTCGTTTGTGACCAGTAATTTGGTTAGTTTGTGACCAGTGAACAATATGTGACCAATCAATTAGATAAATTGTGACCAATAAGTGATTTGTGACTTATAAATTATTAATTTGTGACCCAAAATATGATAAAGTGTGACCTAGATATAATTAATGTGATGTTTGTGACCTTAAATAAGTATTGTGACCTAAAAATTATTAGTTATGACCAATAAATTGATAAATTGTGACCTAAATAAGTATTGTGACTTATAAATTTTGAGATCTGTGACCGATGAACAAATTGTGATTTTAAATTTCTAAGTTGTGACTGATAAGTGTGGAAAAACACTTATTCGGCACTTTTCTGTATTTAATTGGAAATGAAATTGAGTTTATTTCTAAGCATAATTATGTAATTTTCATGTTTGCAGGCTAAAACCCCGATAAAAAGAAGAACGGAGCGAAAAAGGATGAAAATGGACTAAAAGTGAACAAAATGTGAAGATAGGGACTGAAATGCACACGTCCAAAAGTTGGAGGACTTGAAGTGTAATGTATAAAGGGCCTAACTGAAATGAATGTCAAAATTCAAGGGCCAAATTGTACTAAATCAAAGTTGAGGGACCATTTTGCCACTTTCCAAAAGTTTAGGGACTTGGTTGCAATTTTTTTCCTAGGATATTTTGGATTGCTTAAAGACTAAGCAAAGCAAAATATCTCATTTGTAGATAGGGGTGCTGGCACGTTTTATGTAGATAAAAAAGATATAATATATATTAGTTTTAGTATATATATTATTAGTTTTTGTTTTTGTTTAGTTTTAGTTTTAGTTTAGTATCTCTCTCTCTCTTCCCTCTTTTCTCACACACGGTTTTTACTCTTTTTCTTTCTCTTTTATTTTGTTTTCTTTATTTTAGTTGGATTTTGGTTCATTTGGTGAATTCAAAGTAGATAACAATGGTGATTCAATCAAAGAAAGTGGAGAAATCAATGAAGGAATGATCAACTTGGCTTCAAAGGGTTATATCTTTAAACTTTGTTGTTCTTCCATTATTTTTCCATTGTTGTAATGTATTGGAACATGAATCCCCTTGTTATGATGTTTATGATAATGAACTAAATTAATTTTGTTGGAATTTATGGTA